CAGTCCAAAAATATGGGGAAATAAACAGATAATGCGTAGTACTTCATTGGTTTTTTAAGATATGCAACAATTTGGTCTTGCACTACTCGTAATTAATATTCATATTTGTATGTGCATTATAAAAGATCTTAACAAGTACTTTTTACGTAAAATATTGTCGACATATAAAATATTGATTCAATTTTTTTATATTTACTAAAATTTTGCATATAATTAGATGTGCTGATGATTAAAAACTTGGCATGAATAAACATTAATAGTCAAATTGTTACACATACTTCCTACTTTGTATATGAAAATTAAAATTAATACGGAATGAGGCACTCTGAACTATAACCAGGATTAATCTTGTAAATGAAGTTACGAGGATCAAAAGATATAGTGCTTCCACTTACGAGTTAATTATAAGAATCAAATGACGATGAACTCGCCGCGGTATAAAAAAATAAGAGGATACGGACATACCAATTTGTTGCCCTCTGCATAATGTAACAGAAGACTAGATCTAAGCACACACATTGAACAAAATGTTGGAAACAACACTACAACATAGACTACTGCCAAAAGATTTTAAAATGAAAAAAAGAAAAAAGAAAATGCATATATAGGAGTAATTGAGATACGTAGTACTGTAGTAATTAATTTGATGCAGACCATGCAATATTAATTAATTGGTCAACAGTTTTATTAATCAACGGTAACTTTTTTATGGGGTGCAAATCAACGGCAGTTATTCATTCCCACTTCCTCCGTTTTTTTTTGTTTGACCCGCTTTGACTTTTATACTATTCACCTCTTCTCCTTTGACCGTCTTTTGTAAATAATATATAAGGAAAAACATATTCATGTGAAATATATTTGAATTCGTCTCAATAAGTACTATTATAATATATAACTTTTTAATTTTTACTTATGGAGAATTAAAGTTATTGATCATTAAAGTTTTGTATTAGCAAGCGTAATAAAAGAAACAAATCAGGTAAAAAAGAACAAAGAAAATATAATAATTGACTATTTGACTCCTATATTAACCGTCTAATAATTATAGGTTCCTTGGTGAAGATTTGTAGTTCTCCTCATATAGAGAAAGTAGCTGGCCTGTTATAGTGTCAAGGTGTCTCATCTATTTCATGCCAATTTGTATACTTCATTAAGATTTTGTTACTTTTAAAATTTTTGGTTCGATGGAGTTGATGAAATTGATGACACCAAATGTAGTATGTAGTAATTGTGATACTAAAGTGATGATTTCTTATAATTATATATAGTCTTGGACAATTTCAAAAGGACTAATCAAAAATGAAAATTGGAGTAATTAAGGAGGCATGGAGTAAAGTTTATGGTCAACATCTAGCCAGAGACATCGAAGATGGTTATCAAGAGTCATAGAGCATATATATTAGATAAAACTGAAATTTGATCCGAAGTTTTTGTGTATACCATCCAACCATCCTCTCACAATGTTAATACGGAGTGATAAATTTTAACTAGTTTATGTGCAAATGTTAACCGATTCATCTTATAGTTGTAACTAAACTTTAGTAGATTGGTTTATTCGTCTATATTGGCCAAATAGCAGTACCTATTAAAACATAACAAAATGAACAATATAGTGTCACACACACGATGCCATATTGGTAGAGTAGCTCTTGTTGAAATTACTCCAACAACTCATATGTTATACGGCGTCTTTTACCTTTGAATCGCCAAGTGATTACAGGTTTCAAATATTCGAATACAACACTTACTATGTTAAACCCTTTTTAGAGTAATGTAAAGTTTAACAATAATAGTTACTCTATAATTAAGAGGAATTAGTCACCTAAATAATAGAAGAAAAAAAATCCCCAATTGTGACATTGTTAATGATAAAGTATATAAACCAATCATGGGTTTCAACCATCAGGTTAAACTTTTCGTTGAGTTGGTCCTTTAACATGGTATCAAGAGCCAGCGTGACATAAAGGTCACGAGTTCGAATCTCGTCCACCCCTCCTTTCAAAGTGGAATATTAAACGCTGGGTATGGTGAGGCCCATGCTACATCCACATTTCAAGTCCAACAGACTCTCATGTAAGGGGGTGTGATAGAGTACATAAACCGATCATGGGCTTCAACCATCAGGTTAAGCTTTTAGTTGAGTTAGTCCTTTAACAGTTAACGATTGTTTTTCATGGGGTGATTAATTTAAGAGCTGCATGAGTGCATTTTTTTTTTTTTTTTTGATGGGGAGTAAAAACCTTCATAAATCAAATGGCTACAGCGTCCATCAATACATACGGGGTTATACATGGATTAATGTAAGAGCTGCATGAGTGCATGACTGTATGAGTATATGACAATTAATTTCAGAGAGGAAAATAAAGGTGTAAGACAATTGTGCAGGCAGAAGTCAAATACCGAGATATGCCATTAATCCATAAACAGTTAAACTGAGTTGAACAAATTGGATTCATTCTGTCTAACGGGTGATAAGCTGAAGCTAAAACCGGATTATGGGCTGGAAACTTCTAATTTCTGGATAATTGGGCTTTACATCAATTTCAATTGGGCTGAAATTCTAGATCAAGTTTCGCATTTTATGTGCTTCATATTCCCTGTGTTGCTGTGCATTCCTTATTTTTTTTTTATTTTTACAGTATTTTTTTTTACGGGAGTGCATTCCTTAAAATTGAAAACATGCTAGCCGTAATAAAATCTTCTCATAAAGGATACCAACTACTTTAAATGGTACGACTCTGAACTTCAGAAGTCAAACCAATAAAAGTCTTCTATCGAATAAATAAAATCTTGTTCTAAGCTACTCGTACTCCGTAATTACTTCTCGAAAATAATCAGTTGTGAAAAAACTTAACAAGCTCTCCCCTTTTGCTCCCTTCTTAATTATGCCTCATCTCTTCATAAGTTTACTTCAACTTGAACCATGACTAGAAACCCACTACGTTTTCACTTGGCCTACTATGTGTTAGGCTTAGGCATGTAAGCCAACATCTTGATCAATTTTCAAAAAACTTATGTAAGCAATGACTAAAAATTAAAATCAAGATAAATTCATTATAAAGTACACTTACATTTATCTCAGAAGGTATCAAAATCATATTAGACTAGAAAAAATTGTTTTGGTCAAACAATATTGTAAAAAAATGAAACAATATATAAAAGTCAAATCAGACTAGAACATACTACGTATAAAATATTAGATTAGATCAAAACTTTAAAATAGTTTTAGATCAAAATACATTGAATAAGATGAAAGTAACAAAACCTTATTCTTAATTAAAATAATACCAAATCAAACTAGATTTTGAAAATTCATATCATACCACATCCAACAAGACAAAAGTATAATATCTAAAGGTAAAAATTCATTTAGACCAAACCAAATCTTAAATAATTTTTTTTTTTTTTTGAGGGAAATCTTAAATAATTTAGATCAAACACCTTAAAGATGATGAAGAGAGCATAGCAATGGGTACAAAACTACTCCGTATGTAGTTGGGTTTTGATATCGAAAGTTGAAAGTTTTGCCTAAGATCGATTGAAAAGATAGAGGAAAAGTGAGTTTAGAAAGCTTAATTAGTAGGTTCTACAATTAGTTTAGTATAGTTCAAGAGTACATTAATTAATAAAGAAATAAAAGATAATCGAGATGGGAAATCTTGAGATTAGTTTTTAGAGCTCCTATACCATTTCCTCTGTCATCAGTTTCCTGAACCAGATTTATAAACATAATTTTTGGAGCTCAAGTGGTGTGTGTTGTCACACTAATTACTCAACTTCTTTCCAAAGTCAACTCTTTTTCCCGTAACAATGTAACCATGTCTCTAATAACTTAATTAAATAATACATTAATTCTTAATCTCTGGATCTTCTTTGACTATAGCAGAAGCATCCATAAGACCTTGATTATATAGGATTATAAAAAAAAGGTTCAAATGTTAATAATAAATAAAAATAACTACTATTTTCGTTAAATATTAGTTGCAACTTTGGGGTATTATTTGTGAGACATAAAATATTTTAAAGTTGCAACTAATATTTAACGGAGGTAGTAAAAAATTATATGCTCATCAAGAGAAAACAAAGGATATAAAACACGTAAACATCACAATCGCTTATAGTTCCAAACTTCCAACCAAAAAATAAACAAAAATAAGTCAATTATTGAATAAAAGAATCAGAATACCACAATTGCACATGATTTGATGATTTCAATTTTTTTTTATTTTTAATTTTTTTTTTAAATGAAAGATTCTATGTTCTTATATCACTTGCATTCTCATGCATGTGCCAAACAGTCCATTGATAAAGCAACATTTTATTTCTATATGAAATTCTGTTTTCAAAAATATTGATTCATACTCCATGCATGTCATTGTAGTTGGGATTTGCTTACTCTTTACGTTTATGTCACTGGCATAGCATAGGAGTGATTGAACAAACTTGACTTTGCCATGGCATACAACATTCATGTGAAATGAAGAAGAGTAATTCATACAAATTCGCTTTGGTTTTGGTAATTTTGCACATGTATTATTATTCAGTGATCATTGTATCTCTTAGATTGATTGAGAACATTTTGTAGGTAAAACTTTAAATATTAAAACTACTCGCACTAAAACTTGACTTTAAATTGACAATAAATACTTATCAATTTAACTAAAATGTGATTGAGCATGCTTCAGACTTAAAAGAGATTGTCAATCTGTCACTATATTTCAATTATGTATATACAAAGCATACACCTATCACTCGGAATAATTTTAAAGAAGATACGTATACATTGTGCTTAAGAAATCATCCAATAACTTTCAACTTAAGATTATGACACATTCTCTTTAGCTAATGGTTGGAAGATGAATGAGTTAAGAGTACGTGAAACTCACAATAATCCAATTGGAGAATAAAGGAGGAATTAAGCCAAAAGAATGGACTTTTTCATAAGCATAAATTCCATTTCAATCATCTCAACAAAATGTACGGTACAACACAAAATGTTCTGATTCTCATACACAAAAATTCTCATTGATTAGATGGTCATATGACCTACTTGAACATCAAAGGCATGTAACATGAATTTTGCTGCTAAAGGGAACAACCAGATACAAACTCCTTTTTTTTCAATTTTCTCTTTTTCTTCCTTTCTCTTCTTTTTTTTTCATCTCACTTTTTCTTTTACTTTTTGTTAGGGAGTAACAGAACATAGCATCTCAATAATCTCATCTCACACTTAAAAAAACAATAAACATCGAAAATCGGTACTACTCGTACTCATGAGTTAACATTATGCGTTAACTAACCATTAATAACACCGATCGCTCATCATAATCAATATTTGCATGAATTAGGCCAAAAACAAAACCTAGCAAATTCGTTCAATTTGTGTTTACATCTGGCCTTCATAATCATAATATCAAATCAATCACAAAAAAAGCTAAAAAAGAAAAAAAAAATCCAAACTAATTAAAATATAGTACAAGTAGAATTAAATTAAGAGGAAGAAATGACAGTAGACCTGCGACGATTATCAGGGTACTGTGAAAGGGGGACAACCTCGGCTAACGGCGTAGAAATCGGCGTAGGTAACGGAGAATTCCGACAAACAGGACAAGAACCGTTAAGTTTAAGCCAAGCATCAAGACAACACAAGTGAAAAAAATGGTTACAATCCGGCATCATTCTCAGCATCTCACCTTCTTTGTAATCACACAAACAAATCGAACACATTAAATTATCACCGTTACTAGTTTCCAGATTCTTCTTATAGAATTGGAATTTCGGGTAAGAGTTTATGACAGCACGATCGAGTCCAACGACGCCGTTTGATGCTCTGTTTTGGTTTTCCTCGTCGTCGTCGTTGTCGTCTTCAGCGACAAAGATGATACGAGGTACGATAATTCCGTTGTCGGAGGAGTTAGGGAGTGGTGGAGCGTGGAGGCGGCGGCGGCGGCGGTGGTTGGCCCGACAACAGATGTAGGAAGACAGGAGAAGAGCGGAGAAGAGTACGAGGAAACCGAAAGCGATGGCTATGGCGTAACCGAGTCCGAGGTTTTGGAGTGAGAGAGGGGAGTGAGAGTGAGGGGGAGAGGAGGAAGGTGGAGGAATAATGGCGGACATTGAAAAAGGGGGAGTTTCATTTTTTAGGAGAGAGAACGAAAGGGAAAAGGGGTTGGGTTGAAGTTGAAGTGGGGTGAAGAGGAGTTAATTTTGGGAAGAAGGTGTTTAATTTTATTTGGAGAGAGAAAGAGAGAGGTGGGTGGAGAGTCCAGCTGCTGCATTTAATTCTTGGTTTGGGAACAGCGATGCTCATTTATTGGGGAGGTTGAAGAAATAGAGGGTTTATAGAGACTCTTTCGAGCCAAGGAGGGAGACGGGAGAGCGTATATACAATTATTCAAGATCATTATTGATCCGATTTCAAGATTAAATAGGAAATTTAAGATTTTAAGCGTATTATTGTTGTGTTTTTGTGAGTATGCTCACACATAATTTGTGCAGGTGCTCATGTATTAGACATCTGGAACGTGTGATATATCATATATGTCTTAAACGTAATTTCAATTTGATTGGAGATTTTGAAATACTCCTTTTGTTGGAGAAAAAAAAATGTATACTTGTTTAATTTTCAATAACTTATAAAAAATGGATTATTCAAGTAACAACCTATAATTAGATTTGTTTACTTATCTTGTTTATTAATAATAAGCCTTTTGCCAACTTTTTGATTACAACCATTGCAGGTGTTTTCTTATTGTCAAACATTCAAATAAACATGTTTGACAACGTTGGCGTGATTCAGTTTGAGTTACATAAATGGTTTTCTAATGGCTAGAAAAAAGGTGGATTATAGGCAAAAAATGATTTTGTTTTGTTTTGTTTTTTTTTTTTTTTTTTTTAATAATAAATTTTGGCTATTTTAAATTGCTTCTAAAGTTGGTTATATTGCATATAGACAACTAGCCAACAATTAATTTTTCCTAGACATATTTCTAGCTAATATTACCATCTTTACTCAAGCTGAAATGAAGGAAAGTCTTCCTTTGTTGGGTTGTTGTAAGTGGGAAAAAATGGTCTTTATTAATCATGATGATGAGTTTGATTACTGGATTGTAATGCTACCAACCGTGCATCACTAAAACAAAATTAATACTAATACACTTCAAATTGACTAAATTGGTTTGTTATTATTGGCAAAATATGGTTTTTTCAGGATATTTAGAGACAGGGAGATACAATAGTCCCTTAAATTATATCAAAAGCAAGCTAGGTTGTAATGAGTAGAAAATAAAATTATAATCTGCCGTTAGTTACACATTTAACACCCGACACACTAGAGTTTCTATAGTTTTGTTTTGGACTTGGTCAGTTAGAAGGATGATCAGCAAACTATTCTGAATGTACTTGAAATTATTGGTCCCCCAATGTTAATTTTAAAAGGCTCTAATAATTCTAGCAATCAAATAATGACAAAAGGTACTGATATTGCAAAAGAAAAACTCTCACACAATAGACAAGAAGAAAAAAAAACGTAGGCAATAATCCACTTCAATTTTGATATCGAATAACTTTTTGTTACTACATATATTACGGTGTATATATCATATTCAATAGAGGATTAGATCATTGAATATTTGAATTTGATTGACCAAATTAGAATATATTTTTTTCAATTTTTTCATCATGTGTAAGCTAGTTATGTAGATACTGTGTAAATCCTAAAAGAAGTCCTCTACCATAATATTATATGACAAATTAAACATAAATTTACAAATATAAATTATCTACTAACAGAGTTTTTTAAAGGAAAATTTACTAACGGACTTTATAATGTAGTGAAAGATAACCACTCTAATACAAAGTATAAATATTCATTATCGACCAATATAAAAAATGTAATTAATTCAAATAGTATACTTTATACGAGTATATACTAAAAATTTATAGTCATAAATTTGAGATCTTTAGTTTGATTAGTCATTTCAAATTTATTGGATGATAATTTTTATTGCTCCATATTATTTTACCCCATTTACGCTACAATGTTACATGAGTTCATATGCAAATATTAGATTGTAATATAGATAAAATGTACTATTAGGTTGTTTGTACTCCGTATTAACTATTAACTTATTAACCAACCCAAAGAGAAATAGAAAATGGAAAAAAGAAGTCAAGCTTCTCATTTTTCAATACTACTACAACCTTTTAGAGTTTTAGATGATGATAATTTGGTGAAAGTGGTAAAAGCAGTACGTTCACATTGTAATATGAAAGCATGGAGTCATGCTCACACAATCACTGAAGGGGACAAAAAATCCCAATATTTTAATTGACTTTTGAAGTTTGAACTCGTCATCTTACTACAGTTCCTGGTCAAGTTATCAAGTATCCTCCTTGTCCATTCCATTACTACAGACGACCCGTCACTTTCTTCTAATATAGTCTTCCACTAATTGGGCCTTGATTTTAACATTTGTGGTCATTTTTTTGGGTTCTTTTGGATCACCTAATTGCCTATAGAGTGAAGTATATCTCACACATCTAAATGTACAATTGGTGGATAACAAATTTAGACCAACTTGTAGTTTTGTACAACATTATAAGGGATGTCAATGTTAATTTGTCAAATAGATTAGCGGATAAAATATTTATGAAAGATATAATAAACGCAATTGAAATTTTATATCAGCTTTTTTTTATGTTTAATTGAAAATATCATAATTGAAACCAATGATCATCACTATGTAAAAAATAATTTATGCAACATTATGTACGTGACTATGCATATTAGGCTATAATTATGAGCTTACAACATTGGAGATGCATGTGTTGAAAGGTCTTCCAAACCCTATCACATATTTCCACATAAATTGACAACAATCATTCTTTTTTAAGACCTGGTGACCACAATGTAAACCATTGTAACATTACAGTTCTATATGCTCTACTTACTGCCAAAATCATTTTCCAAATATCATTATTATCCTGAAAGTTTTGGACAATATATCAACATATTTTCATTCATATTGAAACAGTCATACTATTTCTAAAACTTCAATTCGACATGCCTCTTACAACTTTGACCTTGAATTTCTAGGCTAGAAATATTAAAACTAACTGTACAATTCATCTCTACAACAACATTTTTAAAGTCAATAATCAACACTTTTGTTCTTCCAGGAACTCTGCTGTAGGTATCCATAATAAGCATGCCAGAACTTAGATCACGAGCTAGGCTCGAAGCCTTAAACATCCGTTCTGTAATAATTTCCACAGTTATGTTCATCCTCAAGGTATGCCGTCCCCGGGCCCGGCCGGGTGGTCCATGAGCCTCTCCCACCATGATCCCCTTGTAGTAAATGCTTGTGGTGGTGTTACTGAACCTGAAGGTATCCCGGTTCAAGTTCTTGACCGACACGTCAGCAGTCATTGAGATGTTGGACCCTGGCTGGATAGCCAGGTTGCTACCGTTGTTGGTGAGGGATATTTTGTTGAGTGTCATGATTGGATCCTTAACCTTGAAAACTGTTAAATATAGGACTATGATGGTTATGATCATTAGGATTAATGTCCCTAGGGAGCATAATATGTAACGGGTGCAAGTGCAACCCCTTTTTTTGGTGGTTCGGATCGGATTTGGATCGGTGATCAGACTCGCTAGTGGGCGAGTCTGATCCTCCATCAGGCCAGGGAATTTGAGGGGTGTAATTAGTGGGGAATTGATGACAAGTTTAGTGCTAAATAAGAAGGTGATGAAGGGTTGAAACTTTGATTTAATTAGATGAAGTAATAAAGCATTGAAACTTTGGGTTCGTTTGGCACTTTGGCGTGAGAAATGGGGGTGAATTATGGAAGTCAAACCACTTTGGCGTGAGAAATGGGGGTGAATTATGGAAGTCAAACCACGTTGTTAGAACGTTTATTTTATTTTTTTAAAAAAAAAATAAAAAAAATGGACAAAATACATAAGGCTATATGAAAATAATGTTGAAGTACTGCAGAATGATAAAATAAAATTTTGGAGATGCGGGGTATCGATCCCCGTACCTCTCGCATGCTAAGCGAGCGCTCTACCATCTGAGCTACATCCCCATTGTAGGAGCTAAGCAAAATATATTCGACCATTTGTTTGACTTCCATAATTCACCCCCATTTCTCAACTTTGGGTTCTTATATAATTCATTAGTTCTTATATTCGACCATTTGTTTGACTTCCATAATTCACCCCATTCCATAATCCTACGATTAAGATTTGTTTTAATCGTGGCCGGTCATATCAATCTAAACTTTGGGTTCGTTTGGCACTTTGGCGTAAGATATCACAATTCAGGTATGATTATATTCGACCATTTGTTTGTTTTTTCACGAATTTTCAGCGATTTTTGTGATTTGATATTTGTGTTTTTTTCTTTTTTGATTTTCATGAATTTTGCATGAGTTCGATTTTTCTGATTTGAATTTAATGAATTTCGCATGGAGTTTGATTTTTTTGAGTTCGATTTTTGCAAATTTAGGGTTTGAATTTTGAGGATTTACGATTCGAATTTAGGGTTCGATTTTTGCTTATTTTTGCGGATTTACTTCTTTCTTCTCATTTATAACTTCTGTTTTACTAAATAATAAAAGGATGAAAACTCTTCTAATTCACAACCTTTCACTAATTTATCAAATGTTATTTATTAAACTACTAATTTTATCAGATGCTTAAAATAGTTTTCTAAATTAAAGTTTGAATTTCAACACCCATGTTGTTAAATTGCATTTGAGATTAAAATAATCACTAATTTTACAATAGATTCCGTAACTCGTTCATACTTGGTTGGTAAATGGTAATGTATGCATACTACAAGAGCTCCATGATTAAAACAATAGGCAATTTCAAAGAAAAATTCACATCGATCATCAGATCATACAAGATGATATGACAAAGAAACCAACTAGGGAACCGACTAAGTTAACCGTTAACTAGTTCCCTGCTCATCTGTTATAAATCCTTGCGCAATTAACATAAAGTTGAACTCTCTATTTATATACGTAGTAACCATTATCCAACATACTTAGGCTTTTGATAATGATATGAGGGATTCATGAAGTAATAAAACCATTAGCTATAACTTGAGGCGATTAAGCAATATACTTTCAGTCTAAGACATAAGAACTTAAGGCCCTCAATTTTGTGGGCCTTGCCAATGCCTAATTTAAGAAATGATCCTGATTTCTGATCTAAGCCATCTGCCCAATGTTCCTAATTAACTCTTCGCCAATAGACAGTTCCTCACGCCTACGGATACAGTAAAATCAATCAAGGTATATGATGATAGACTTGAATACTTCAATACGCGAATTCCTACTATGTATAGATCCTAGATACACGCACAATGACTAGCTAAAAGGTCAACTTTGATGATCTCAATTTTATAGAGCAAACGGTTTATAGGGACAGCCCACTGAAATGCGTATATAGTTACAACAACTCTAGCACCAAAACAAGCAAAATTCTGGTGTTAACACGAATTATTCCTGTAAGATACTATTACAAGGGAGACCCCAAGAGTGAGTCAGTGAGTTTCCTAAATACAACCAAAGGTGCCCAACATGAAACTATGAAATGAGGTATTAAATAAAAAACAAGTAACTGTGTATTTTTTTCTTTCAAACATCACGAAGTTTATTCCTTCTTTTCCTCCTCTTCTTCTCCTCCTCCACCAAAGAAGTCTCTGATGGACGGAAGCTTGATCTCTCCCTTGGAAGAAAGAGGAATGGTAAAGTTGCCAATGATAGGGAGGTCGATAACAAGACCCAATTGAAGCTCATAATCAATGTCCCAGTCCCTAAAAATATCCCTTGCCAAGCTCACAATGATGCTATGTGGCACCTTCATCGGCACTTCCAGCATTGTGGTCTCCTTTCCTCTTATTGACCCAGGGTCAGCAATAGTCCCTGACAATATCTCCCTGTAAAATTTGACTCCATTTCATTAGTTCAACATCGGAAACACGGAGTGAATCTCAATAATCGTTCCTCAACTTATGACACCAATACTAATAAAAAGAACTGTGAAATTATGTGAGACTAGGGTAAAATTTGCTTCATTTCGGAATGACTAATAGCTTTGTGATGGATAACCTTTAACGTCTCATACAAATTAATGCAGGACAGTATCAACCTAAGACTTGCTCGTACAAGAAGAGTATCAATAAAGACGTGGAAAAGGACTTAGCATGAGATCTCACATAGTTTATTCATTCTTCTTTTCCCTGAATCCTGACTTTTTTAAGAATATGTTATCTCTGGCTCTCTACTAGTTACGTAGAAGATTGAAAGTGGAATATGCCAAATCATGGAGCCCATATAGCCATATTCAAATTGACTTTTCATTGTTTCCCTCCATTTTATAAGAAAATGGCATCTTTATAATATAATATCTCCACTATACTGGAGTACATAATAGAAGTCTTTGGTAGTATTAATTCCCTCCATGATTACGCGTTAAACAAGTTTATGCACACTTTGTTAGTGACTTTATATACTCTGCATAATAATTAAAGTGCAAGAGAAAAACAGAAACAGATCTCAAAATCTAGTAGCAAGCTAGCGGCCTAACTAGTGTTAGAGATCGAATGCATAACATTCATAATCACAAGGATGATACAAATATTAGAGTGTTAATCACTGGTAAATTAGGAACATATCTAAAATTTTCTGCGCATATATAATACTCATTGATGTGCAGCAGCTAGTTTTTCTACAAATCATCAAAATGTTAGGATACTGGACTATATGAAATTGATAAGTTTGATACATCAAACAAAAATTACTGACAAGCCAAAAATAATACAATGAGCACCTAAGCTACATTATCATTACCAGTGATTGCTTTGTTTTCCTAATCTTCCCCTGAATTAAAGGCTTTGGCAAATTAAAGTCATGAAAGTAAAAAGAAATATGCCCTTTCTACCTTCTAATATAATCTTCCTCAACAACTTTCCAATATTTTCTTAGTAATTCAAATAACTTTAGTGCTTTACTAATGAGAATGTTGACATTATAAACATTAGAGAAATAAAAAGAGCATCATACTTTCAAAAAAGAGGGGAAAAAAAAAAAGGAAATGAGCATCATTAATCCATAATAAATAAAATGAGGTAAAGGGTATGGACTATGGCGAGTATTTAATTTCCTAATATATCCCGACCCATAATTATATCTTCTAATGTCCTCGATATACCCTCAATATCATTCCTAAATTACCAAAAATACCCTTAGTCATTTACGAAGTTGAATTTAGATGCATATCTTGGAGATTAACCGGACGCACCTCAGTGTAACATTAAAAAAGAAAGTCTATAATTAGGTAAGTAAAGGGCATAAAAGATTAATAAAAGGCATCAAGATTAAACTTTCGTCAAACCATATAAGAAAACATGAAATCTATTAACCACTTTGACTAGCAAGATCAAATAGTTCATATTCAAACAAATCATCAGAAACAATTACACTTCAAACAGGGGAAATCAAATCAAAAAATAAAACAGGGGAAATCAATCAAACCTCCCCAAAAATCCAAGAAATAACACCAATACATTTATCTCACATTGATCAAACAATTAACAAAATAAAATTTAAAATTTTGACAAAAATATTAAAAAGAAAAAAAAGGGTGTAAAGAAAAAAACAAACCTGCCATCACATTTAAGGAGGTAAGTGATCTCACAAATAGGAATTGATTGAGAATAAGGGTTCATAACACCAACTTTAGCGCTGTAAGTAACACCCTCTTTGTTAACTCCTTTCAGATCAAAATCTTCTATGTTTGCTTCTGGTTTTGGCATATCTGCGATCTTCTCTGCTACAAAGTTTTTTGCTTTGTCTATTAATCCTGCCATTTTTCTTTTAATTTCTAATTTCACTCTTCAAATCAATAATATGATCGAGATTAAGGAAGACGATTTGCGATTGATCTTGTTTTAGCGATGGCTCTTGTTTGGGATTGGTCAGGCGTTTATATAAATAGAGGTTGAGAGGGCTCTCTTGCCTTGAGATGTAAAAAGGTGTCACACGTATACCACTTTTATTGCATTCTGATGTGATTTTTTTACAATAATATTACTCGTAAAATGTTTCCTTTAAAGACGATTATTGTAATATTTTATTTATCTCGACCCTTTATTTTGGATATTTTTTTTTTCAAATAAGGAATAACTTTAAACATTTAAAAAATAAATAGCACTAAACATTACGTATTATTTAATTACTCAATTAACTTTTTTTGCTCCATAAACAATTTTATCAGAAATTCAATATATTTGCGTTCTAGTACTTTAAAAAAAAGTTAAGGTTGGTGCATAGACCACACACATTAGGAAATGGGTATAAATAAAAGACAATTGTGAGTATATCACAAATCACAAGGGAGGTTTATTCCTCGTTATCTTCTCCTTTGCGAAAGAAGTCTTTGATGGAGGGAAGCCTGATCTCTCCCTTTTTCCGAAGAGGAATAGTAAAGTTTCCAATGATAGGGATGTCAATAACGAGACCTATCTCAAGCTCATAATCAATGTCCCAATCTTTAAAAATGTCCCTTGCCAAGCTAACAATCACACTATGTGGTACCTTCATTAGCACTTCTAGATTTGTCTTATCATTTCCTTTAATTGACCCGGGGTCTGGAATAGTTCCGGATATTATTTGCCTGTAAATATCAACTTCATGTGCCATTAGTTTACATCAAACTCGAAGAACTAAATATTGACAATCTCAAACTAATCTTTATCTAAAATTGCCTAAAAATGTAAAAGAATATACATTGCTATTTTTTGTCCTTAAAATACCCCATAAATTTAAATTACCAGAATACCTTTCATATTAGTCTTTCAGATACATTTAGGAAATGTGACATCATATCAATTTAACCATCTTGACTATCAAATGCAAAAGGCCAGGTTCATAATTAACAAACCATCATAAAACCAATTCAAACAGGGGAAATCATTTCTATTTAATAAAATCAAATCTCCATTTATATGTACTTCCTTAACAGTTGACCTACATTTTTTAGTTGTACCCCCATGAAAATCTTAATTGTTAATATGAGTACATCAACACGAGTACATGAACTAAATTTTATCTAGTGACGGCCTAAAGGGTATATCATAGCACATATCTTAACAGTTCCCTCTATTAAATGTTATCCTTAAAACACCATTTAAAGCTCCTAATTACCTAAAAAAGCACTTGATCCGTCCTAAAAATGCCCGATAAGTATTAAGTCGGGTAAAGGCCAGAGGCAGCAAGATCTAACTTTCATTCTAAGCAAAATGTGAAGTCAACTAACTTGTTTAACCATCTGGACTAGCAATATTTTTTCTTTTAAAGAAAAGGCCAACATTTCAAGTACTCCATTTTTCATTAAATCATCCTAATTCATAAACATTTGCACTAATAACGAGTAAAATTAAATCAAACAATAAAAAAATAAAACAAACAGAGGAATCAATCAGTATTTCCCAAGATCCAAGATTTACAAATTGAAAATTAATTTTATTGTTTGAAAACAAAAATTACAAACCTGCCATCACATTTAAGATGAAAAGTGATCTCACAAATAGGAATGGAATGAGAATAAGGATTGGTAACACCAACATTAGCACAATATGTAACACCTTCTCTGTTGACTCCTTTTAGATCAACATCATCTATGCTTGCTTCTGGCTTTCTCATATTTGCAATTTTCTCTGTTACAAAGTTCTTTGCTTTGTCTCTTAATCTTGACATTATTTTGCTAATCTCTCTGCTTTATTTAAACTAATTGTATGAGATAAGGAAGATGATTAGCCCTTAATCATGTTGGTCATTGCCTATTATTTAATATTAATACTTTTAAAGTGGTTGAGGCCATGAGGGGTTTTAATATTGTCTTATTGGTGCTACACATATATGACTTTTATTACATTGTGATTTTCTTACCTAAGTATTAGAATTGTTTCCTTTTAAAACAGATTTTTGCAATGTTTTTAAAGATTTTGGGCATTTATTTTTTCTCAAGAACAAATTATTAATATTACCTAAGAATTATAGCTTTTATTTTCAAAAATAAATAAATTATTGTATCTTTTTATGTCATTGGATAATTTTATTGACTTTTTTTTTCCCCAAAATTGCATTTATTTAAAACTTCAATTCACTATCACTAGTACTAGTTTGTTTAAAATTATAACTAATGCGTAAGTTTTAGCATCATTTACGATCCATGGAGGAGGGTGAACAAACCGCACATATTCATGTACATAGCTTTGGCATATGTGAAGGTTTTCTTTTCTTTTTTTTTTGGGTTTTAAAGCTTTGATAAAATTGTTATACGTTGCCATTGGAATACTTCGTAATTTGTAAGCTTAACGAGTGGAAGGATTAGTTATCAAAGTAGGATAGACGTGTATGATTTGACTTTTCATATGGAGGGGTAGTCATCAAAGTGTAACTCATTTTTTTGAAAATAAAAAAATAAAATTAAATCGGCAATTCTAGTCGATTCTTTACAATTGTTGCCGTACCAAAAAGCAAACCATATTCCCGTGGAACAGACGAGGAAACTTTCAAAAACACAATAAATAGAGTATACTTTATCCTTATTTCAAGGTTGTTTACACCTTGAGTATACTTTAGAATTTTGATAATGATTTTTTTTTGTTTTTCTTTTTTGCAATCATCTTTAAGTACTGTATATATTTTACTATTCATGCATGTTGAATTTGAATTGTAGTATTGTTACAATGGTACGTATATATTGTAAAAAAAAAAAAGTATTGACTCACTCAATAAACCCTTATATTTTACTCTTTAGCGTTAACCTGCTAACTAGACTGGCTTAACTTATAAGAAATGTCGGTTTAATAAGGTCCTTCATTTTACCATTTAGAAAAATAAATATAAAACCTTTTTATTTGGAGATTTTGGTTCGAGTTCTACCAAATTGACTATACCTTTATAAAAAATAAAAATAAAACTTCATAAATAATAATAAATTTTTTTTTTTTAAAAAAAAGGGAAGTATAGGCGGTGAGACACGTGAAAAAACGTGTATACCCGCCGACCCGCGTATAAGCCGTAATGTAAGATCTCACCTGGAGGACCCATCTCCGTACTATTTATAAGATGGTCAGGTCAGCTATACACGTATACTATAAGAATGCCGGATCCATCCGTAAACGTGGGCCTATTAGTTTTGGATCAGAATGATGGGGCAGTCAACAAGTATATCGTGTCAATTAAATGAGGTTTTCAACTCCTTTAGGTATCTATCATAATACAGTATTGAAGCTAAGTAGTGATGTGTTTTATTGGATCTTGGCCCAATTCTAGACTAGCTTCACTTAGTCACCCCAAATTTGAAGTCATGATTCATGAACAAGTGTGTTGGCTATGGTCTTCAGTCTTGACCAACGAGTCATTATTTAGGAACGAAGAGAATAATATCTATGTAATCTATCTCAAACTTTTTGTCACATTGTGTCTTGATGGCTGGTTTCACTCTCATATCATCGTTGGTCATGGTACATGGTTTCCATAAATGAGTGGGCATGAAAACCTTATTGAATGTTGAATGGGTGTAGGACCCCTATTTTGATTGAATGAAGTCGGGAACAATAACATTGGTTAGCAAATGCATTCAATGTTAACTTTTGGATAGAATAGAACCTATGAAAAATTGAAAATGCCATGTATTGGTCCCATACTCACTCCCATAAAGTAGAAAAAAAGTTGGATCATTTATAAATTCAAGTGAAATTTGATAGAGTATGGATGGACTTCAACCATTAGGTTTAACTTTTGGTTCAAAATTATCATTCCGAATTCAATCAAATGCAAAATACATAATAATTAGTAATTCTTGGTGATTTATTAAATTAAACAAAGACAATTTACTAGATCTCATTTTAATTAGCATTCTTAGACTATTTAGTTGTTTGAAACATATTATCCGGGAGTCATCACTACTTCACATCTTCACTAGAGCACACATCCAAATAATTCAGATTGATGATCCAAATCAAGTTCACACGTAGCATCACAATGTGAGATTCATTTGAAGTAAATTTTTTTATTAAGAAAAAATTACAAATTTAAACTCTAATCAAAGATGTTACAATTTAGTTTCATAAAATTGGCCTAACAATAGTTAAATTGACCTAATGTAAAATAAAATTTTGACAATATTACGTATACAATGAGGAAATATTCGACCTAATTTTTGAGAAAGAATTAGCTATAAGCTTACAAATATATATATATATATATATATATATATATATATATATATATATATATATATATATATATATATATATATATATATATATATATATATATGTCCATTGATACATGTATATGTGCATTTACATTTTATAATTAGATTTTCTTTGAGAAAGCTTAGCATAATATGTGGTTAAATAATTCATGATGAGGGTTATTTAGGTTAAACTAGAAAGAAATTGCATTTGGTTAAGGAGAGGAGAAAGGGCTTCCATCAACTTCTCGCAAGGATGATTGTGAACTCCTTCATATGTTGTAACGACAATGCTAGAGTCCTTGGATAGCCTTTGCACTTGTTTCTTCACATTACATGTCAAATGTGTGCACCGATAATAGCTTCTGTATGATAAACATAATTTGTTTAGTCTCCGATCATTATACCAACAATCGATCATGAAATTAGATATATGAAGGGTAACTAGTCAAAGTTCATTCATGAACACCACAAGGAAAAATAGGAAGAATAAAAATGACCATAGACCCTATCAATTTCAAATTTTCGCATCAACAAATATTGATTTTTTGAAATGTTATTAGCATTAATTATCATTCCTCCAAAAAGAGAAAATTGGTTGTTTGTACACCAAGAACGAACTAGACATGCACATACCTTGGATAGATGTTATTCTTGACGGATTTCTGCCCATATTTTCTCCAACGATATCCATCATCAAGAATGTCCTCAGAGCTCTTCGTTTGGAATGCAAATCGAGGAACCACCTTCGCCTTCCTCGATCTTGTACTGCCACTACTACTAATACTACAGCTACTTATTCTTTTGCTGCTTTCCAACCTATGATCAATACTTCCTCTATTTTCTTCCTCATTATTGATTCTAGTACTATTGTTTCCACCACTTAAAAAGTCTGAACCATTGCTCTGACGATCATTATCATACTCAAGGCAATCAAGTCGTTTATCATTATGACTATATTCATTATTACTATCAGCCTTAACAGTTGGTGAATCGATCAAAAAGCTAGACCAATCAACGTTGTCTGAGACAGTCGCAGCCTCAAAATCATTTGCTTGGTTACACTGCTGAAGATCATACTGTGTTGAAAACAATAATGGCGGTGAAAATTCCTTCTGTTGAACCTCAACGCGTGGGACCTTTTGCTGGACTTCCATCCGTAATGAGATCGAGTATAGATGAAGAGGCTCGAGGCGAATATAAAAACGTGTATGTATGTGTATATATGATGAGATGGATGGAAGGTAAGAACGTTGGCCAGATATATGAAAAAAAATAGTTAGAGAAATAGAGGTGTATGTGAAAAGGGAGGGAAAAAGGAGAGGATGTTACGTTTGAAGGAGTTTAGAGAGAAATAAAAGAAAATAAAGGCCAACAAAATTGCACCTACTTTGTTGGTTCAACTACTGGTGCTACATTACGTTTGTGAAAGGTTTTTCCTACAAATATCCAATACATATGTTTGCATTTTATGTTAGTTGTGTAGTATTTATTCTGTCGTTTTCTCTAATATGTGTACATTATCAATGGTGAAAGGCGAATACGTCGACGCAATGACGCATATATACAGATATATAGCAAGGTAGCTTCTTGCAGGAATTTTAAGTGTGTTAATTTGTTAAGTCACCAACCCACATAGTCAATTACTACAAGGTTTTCTACGAATAAGGTGATTTCTAATATGAGAAGGAATATATTATCTGTCTCTCAATAAAGTCACTATGTGATTATAGCCTTTATAGGTTGTTAATCATAAAGGTCACCTTTAAAATATTTGCAACATTCAATCTTGTATTACCATATACTTGTCTCACACAATAATTACTCGAGAACCATTGATAATGAAAGCATAAAGCTAAGGATAGTCTTTGTGTCCAGGACCCCTGCTGATTAAAACTTTAATCACGCCTTCAATGTTAACCCATGCAAACATCTTTATGAATGCAGATACAAACTTGCCTTTATTATTCGACATACTTGGACTTGAAAGGTGGAATCGGGTAAGTTTTACACAAAAACAATTTCGACTAGATTTTGCAAAAACATGTCATGTTAATTCTTATTTCTGAGTATCATAAACTTATACTACGCATCATATTACATTCTATGAACATCATCAGAATTCAGACTTAATTCTTTCTCTAATAGCAAGATCACTCTATCATGGTCCTGCGCTTATGAACTCAATGAAACATGTTACAATCCGCCAATCTATATATTGATAAAAAAAAAAAAAGAAAAAAAAAAAAAAAAAAAAAAAAAAAAAGAAAAGACTAGCAGTATTTATTAGGTAAAGACATATCTCGAGACTGGAAAATATTTAGAACAAGGGCCTCTTCCCATTCAACATCTCCATCAGATGATCGAAGACATGACTTCCCCCATCCTGTAAACCAGAATGCATGTATTCATTAGTTATCCACAGCCTTATTCCGGAAATATGTTCAGCAGTTTTCATGGCCAGATTGAAGTTCACAAACATGTCCTCATAGTAGAGCGCAGCTGCTACAGGAACCTATAAGCATTGTCATGCAATATGCAATGTTAGATGAAAAGGCACAGCATTATCTAACCCGAGGGAGCACAACAAGACAGAAACATGTATTCACATGAAACTAGCGACACCGACACAAAAAGAAGTATAAAATATCTGCAGTTTAAGCAAAGAAACAAGCCCCAAATTATGAATCCTGGTTTTCTGCCATTAAAACATCAACAATACATATCACCAAGGAAGGCTAAGAATCCAGGGAAGACAAAGAAACATTCAGGATCAATCACATGTACAAGGCAGGAAATCAGACCTTGTTGTTCTCCAGTGCTGCTACATCATATAATGGAGGCCAATCTTTTTTCTCTGAAAGTATGTGGGCAACCTCCTTGAGATGTTTTAAGGAAGAAATTTCATCAAACATCCATGGGAATACCATCTGTACAAGTAGAGTGTCAAGTCAGATAAGATTACATGAGCAGACGTTCACTGTTGCCTGCTGCAGATTCCAAAATGCAAGAAACACAATGAAAAACACATATTGTGGATCAGTCGTTAAATTATTTCTATTGTCAATGACAAACAAAGAAATAAAGCAAATCCTTTACTAAGGAAAGCAAGTACTCTTCGGCCGTACGTAACCAAATAAAACTTAGTTACAGACTTACAGGTACAAATTTTTTTACATTTCGCAGTTTAACTCTAGATACAGCAAAATTCACTGACTTCACTCAGAATTACTGTATGAGTAACTTCTGTGTGAGAAGGTTGTAAGGCAAGGCAAGGGTTACAAGGTGAGCTTTATAATTAAGTAATTAACTTGGGTGTAATGGGGCGAATTTTATAATTAAGTAATTTATTGTAATATTAATGAGAACTTCATAGCAAGGGACTCGCTGACCAAAAGGAGAAGAAAAAGAAAGATTCTAGAATAGGAGGGTTTTTCACTTGAAAAGAAGGTTAAAACACTTAACAGCTTAGGCTGCTTAGCACTATCATATGTTGTAGCATAAGCAGGAATTTAGCCCATTACACCAATGAAAAAAATAACTAGATGATTACTAAGAAAATAATATCAAGGAAAGATACCTCTCCTGTGAAGTATACAGGACGCCCTTCTTTTGCTGCCTTGATTGCGTCAAACTTGCTTCCATTGGCCTCCCTTACTCTATGAGCAGCCCACTGTGATGGAGCACCCTGCAAATTTAACACAACTTACCATTATTTTCATGGAAAACTTGCTAGACAAACAGCAGCAAGTTTTTCTGCCCTAACACATGAAAAGAAAAGAGAGACTAAACGTACTTCGCAGTAAATCAACTCATGAAGTATCACATATAGCGGGTTCGTATTGAAAGCCCCCCAATTATCAAACTGCCATCCAGAAAAGTTTCAAGCAATTAATTGTCATACCAAGTAAAAAAAAAAAAAAAAAAAAAAGGGGACTCAATTTTAATAAAAAAATATAAATCTGTAGTGCAAAAAATAATAGTTGTATATTGAATTACTTACGGCATTCAAAAAGCAATAACTGAGTTGCTTTTGTGCACCTGGAGTTATAACAGGATCCCAGGCTCTCTCAAGCCTGTGGAGAACAGAGGATAAGAAGGAAAAGGTAAAAAGAAAGGAAGAGATAGAATGACCAAAAGAGTAATATTTTAATCTCATATTAAGTAAAGCGAGATATTGACTAACTACTTACATGTAATGCAACCTCTCAAAACCAGCACCAGCCCCAGCCCCTAGACCAGAAAGACCAAGAGTTTGAAGTCCCCTTGGGGTTAACATTCCACCAGATGGTAGAGGCACCTTCATTCAAGGAAACAAGAAAAGATACAATGATGCATAACTAAGCTTTCGACAAAAAGCAATTCAAAAATTAAAAAATAAACTTATATGGTGTAGAATGTCACACCCCGCCTCCTTCAGAATTTGCCAAGAATTTAACAATATCTTGGACAACTTCAACATCCTGAGGAAACCTTTCATAGTATTTCTCTGTTTGACGCGAAATCTTTTCAAAGCATGCATGATACACGGCATCTGCAGTACAACCATCTGCAACAGGAGGAATTCCGCCTGTTACAAGGACTTGCTTTAACCCTTGAGGGGCAAAACTTAGATATGTAACAGCACAAAAACCACCGTAGCTCTAGAAAACAAAGGGAAAGAAAAAGTGGTGAATTATAAGAGCTATATGAGTTCACTTTTGGGGAAATAAATACTTAGTGAAGATGATCACTTGAGCACTAAATAAAAAACACTATACACATGTCTGTGAACTCACAACCTATAAATGCAAAAAAATCAAGAAAGCACTAAAATCAACTTATACCTGTCCCAAGATAGTCCAAGGACCAGCTTCAGGAACAATGCGTTTTCTAATGAATTCAGCATCGTTTACAATATTGTCTGCACGGAAGTGTTTCAAGTATTCAGCCAGATCTTCTGCAGATTTCATTTGCCGCATAGAAGATGTGGTCAAGGGAGTTGACAAGCCTGTTCCACGCTGTATAAATACTGCATTAGGTAACTCCAAGAAGAAGCTAAGAACCATAACCTAACCATAATAACAGGATTTGCTAATGAAACTTCCAATAAAACATGCCTGATCCAACAACACAACACGATAGCCTTCACATGCTTTACCAATCCAACCTTTCGATTCTGTAGGACGTGGAGACTCAAAGCCAGGTCCACCTTGCAGATATAGAAGATATGGCAGTGGTTGATCCTCCTTACCAGCTGAGAGAAATAGGAGAAATATGTATTTGTGAACCTCAAATTGGCAAAAGATAATAAAGCCATTAAGGCATTAACAGCCATAACTGAGCAATACATATCACATTTTCAAAAATAAAAAGAGTATTGATTTTGCCAAAGTTTGTTAGTTTCACTTTGTACACTTGTACGTTATAATCCCTTTAATTGTTTTCCTGTTCTAAGAAGGATCAAAATGAGTGAACATGCCAAAAGTATGGAACTCCAATCTGTATAGTTGTGCACCCAGTGCATCCAAATTCCGAACAAACCGCTGAATTTAACATCACTCATCTCAACTTACAAGCCCTTATTCCTATAGACAATTATCTTAACTTATAAGCCCTTACTTAAATTAAATATACACTCTACTCGACTTGAAACTTCTTTTTCAATACGAAAAGAACAGGGCTTTAATAGGTTTTAAAATCCTGCACCTAGAACTACACCACCATGTAGCTTCAAGTCGAAAACTCAAAACATGCACACATGCAATAGTTGATTGTATGAGAGGTTATGATCAGTGTGCATACGTCACATGCCGGGTACCGGCCACGTGCACCATAAACACATTGACATAGACCCGTGGTAGTGGACAGTGGTACCAAGATATAGGGTGCAGGGCATCGTTTTCCAACTTGTTTAAGTCAATATTCTTTCTACAGACTACTATTTAGTAAAGCAAAGGATATAAAAACACTACTTCTAGTCAATCGAATGTCTTTTTAATAAACAATTGTAATGGGAACTACTATCCCACCACCAAAACGAATAATCAAAATTCCCTCGTACAATTCCAGAATCTTGAGTGAAATCAAAAGCTAACAACGACAATCAACTAGCATATAATCCAACAAATTAAACTGTTGATAACACTAATTTATGCATTTTACGACAATAGTGGAATCCAACCAAGCAAGCAGGCAATCACACTTATTACATACACAATTTACACACCCAGAAAAAACAATATTAGAATAAAGCTTAAAGTTCATCCCCTTTTTATGCCCTTTTTCGTTTTATATAAACCTCTTTCCATCAAAAGCTAGATCCATTTTTCATATAATACAAATTTGTTCAAAATAACGTCAATTGATTAAGATACGACAAATTCACAATCAAAGTCGACAATCCAATGAAGAATATGTAAAATAGCAAAAATGGATTGAAATAAAATGTACCGGCAACAACTTCGCGAGCAAAAACGCTGATTTTAGGGCAAGATGAATCAGAAACACTAGAATAATCAAGAGGAACAGTGAAATAATGATCACGAAGTCGGAGTTCCGGCACCGAGATCCAGTTTCCGGCGAAATGGTCAGCCGGAGAATTGCCGTTGGAGGATGTCATGGCGGCGGAGAAAGTCGTGAGTTTACGGCGGCGAGGAGAGGGAAAGTACGAAGATGAAGATGAAGATGAAGCGAAGCGATAAAGAAGTAGAAATGGAGGTGTCAACAAAGAACAAGTAGTGAATGTAAATGGTATTCGTGTTGACCACATTATTCGTGACGCCGAAAAAAAGGCAGTTTTTTAATGTTGTGATTGGTTCATAATATTTGTCAAATACTTCCATGGTTTGAAGCTAACCACTTCAACCTTTCTTTTTTAAGTATTAACTTTGTTTTGTTTTGTTTATTAACTCACATGATGACATGAGACCGCACTCTATTCTTATTCGTTTAGGTTAGGTGTTAAAGTCTTAACGGGGCGTTTGATTGGAGGGATGAAAATTAGAGGGATAAGAATGGAGGATAAAGATAGGGGATTAATAGGTGGGATAACGATAATAATTTTTATCCCATGTTTAGTAAGTTTAGAAAACAAATTAAGAATAAGTAATAAATTAATAAAAATACTCTTACTAACTTCTACCCTTTCTCCTTACCTTTTCAATTTCATTGAGGGTAATTTGGTCTTTTAATATTTATTTCTTATCCCTTCCCCGTATACCACCCCCTTAGTTATAGAAATGGAGGGATAAGTGGGTGTTTTTATTCCTATCCCTAACCTCTTCTAATCCTCATTCCTCTAAACAAACACTACATTTCTTCTATCCCTATTTTTTATCCTTATCCCACCCCTTTTATCCCCCTAAACAAACACCCTCTAAAAGGATGATGCTCAAAATCTCGGATCAAATTAAATTGTGTATAAGGCCCTTTTTGGTAATTAACGGTTAGTTGATTGGTAAGAATTGATTATATTAGCTAGCTGCATTAGCAGTTTTGACTAGTTGATTGGTAAGTGCTAATTCTGTAGAGTTGTTTGGTAAAATTAGCTTATTATTTGTAGTTGTTTGTTAGTTTTGAACACATGAAATGACAATTTAGGACATTGACATTTTTTTTAACAAGGGTAAGAAAAGTGGGAGGGCAAGAATGTAAATTAGAGTAACTTTTTAGAATAAAATTGTCATTTGACATCCATTACTCAATCAGCTAATCTAAAAAGCTCTATTGTTTAGCTTTTTACAAATTAGTTGATTTGCTTTAATCAGCTCATTTAAAAATCTCTTTAACAAATAACCAAATTAGATTATTTATGTAGTCAAACCTCAACTTGGTCAAATAAGCTCATTTTTTTGTCAAAACTCTATTTACCAAACATGGCCATATGTGTAGTGTATTGATTAGGTGTCACTTTATAGTGTTAACACAAAATATAAAGAATTAAAATGTTATGTGTCAACTACCAAGTCTTATGCAATTCAAAATTAGTGTCTTATGATGTAATATTAAATTTTTCTATAGCTATATCACTCCTGGCAATTGTCCTAATTGAACTTGTTTATAAATGGTTGTTTAAGAAAATTGAAGGTTGAAAAAAAAAATATTGTAATTTGTAAATACAAGTGGTTTTCTAGACGAAGTAGATATCCAAATTTGACAATTCACTTACCTACTTAACACAAGAACTTCTAGATTGTTTGCTTTAGGAAAGTCAGCAGTGAAATTAAGATTTTTTTTTTATTTTTTTTTTAATGTTACCAATAAGATAATGAAAAGTATGTTTGGTACAACTTGAATATTTTTAACAATATAAAAATAGTTCGTTTCTCGAATAACACCTTAGACTTCAATATTAATTTCGAAGATGTAAAAGGTGGTAAATGTTAAAACTTATAAATAACGCATTTGATGCAACTATGTAAAGCATCGTAGGGTAAAGTTAGGTTTCAAGCCATATAGATGGCTTCTTGGTTTGGGCATCAAGTTGAAGACTAAATAAATTTTATTGTTAAGTGACTAAGGTGAGGACTTGAGGTAGTTATGTAATGAGTACATTGTCTTTGATTAGAAAATAAAATGTGACTTTTAAACTGTGATAAATCAAGTATTTAAAATAAAATTAAGTGGAAAAATCGAATTAATATATATAACTAAAATTAGAGAAAATCAAAACTCCATCTCTTAATCTACATTACATTTCTTAGAAGTAATTTACATTACCAAATAAAAAATTCTTTCAACTATTTCCACCAAAAAAAGGAGAGTATGTTGAATTATCATCCATATACAGAGTTGACTCGTGTTATGCACAAGTTTAGATTCCTTAGAACTCCGATCATATTCTATAGGTAAATAATGTAGAACCGAGTGATGGAGAGAGTAACATTCGTGACATAGTTCCTCTTTCAAAAGAATGAATTTTATTTCTTTAAGAGCAAAAAATAACGAAGAATATTATTGACTTGGTACTTTAGTAGGCCAACAACCCCATCACGATCCAAGCACGCACTCTCTTCCACTCTTCCTGGTCTTTTTCAATGGCGGTCTTCAGCAATGTCCTTCAACGCGCCGCCGTCCTCCGCCACCGCTTCCACCTCCGCAACATGAGCAACATCCCGGAAAACACCGTATACGGCGGTCCAAAACCCCAAAATACAGAACAAAGGGTAACATTAGCTCACCTAAAGCAGAAACACAAGAAGGGAATTCCCATAACAATGGTGACAGCCTATGATTACCCTTCCGCCGTACACCTTGACACCGCCGGAATTGACATTTGCCTCGTCGGAGACTCCGCCGCCATGGTTGTTCACGGCTATGATACTACTTTGCCGATTACTCTTGATGAAATGCTTGTTCATTGTCGCGCGGTGGCGCGTGGTGCCAATCGACCCCTTCTTGTTGGGGACCTCCCTTTTGGTACTTATGAGTCCAGCTCTCAGCAGGTATAAAAATTATATTTTTGGATGTTTTAAGGATGAATTGTGAATTGGGTGATTGTTTTGTGGTTTTTTGCTTGATGGGTTGTTCTTGTTGAATAATTAGGGAATGGAATTACAATTGGATAATTGATGTAATAATTAGATGATAATTGTGGTGGTTTTAGATTAAGTGGGGTTGTTCTTGTTGGGTAAGCAGGGAATGTTTATTGCAATTGGATAATTGATGTAATATTAAATACTGTAATAAAATTAATAATCATGTTGTTTAATTAAGTACAATTAAGTTTGTTTAATTTCCTTGCTTCTAATATTAGACCTGGTGGCTAAAAGCTCAAGAGGATAAAGTGGTGGTTAATCAAAGAAAAAAAAAAAAGCTTTAATTGGTGAGAAGAATGTATTAGATAAGATTAGACATTTGGGAAAATGGGGCTGAAGTATGTTATTAACAACTCCTTTAATTTGTTCTGCAAGCACTTTATTGTATCATAATCGAAAGTTTAAGCCCTAAGGTGAGTGTATTTGATTGTTATCCTGAGTATTTGGCCAATGGAAAGGAAGATTACTGCTCTCTTCAGCAAGTGATTTTTCATTGTGCTTTTGAAAAAATCCAATGCTTGCATACCCCTATTTCCGAGTGGCCCAGTAATCCCAGTTCCTTATAACTCATGTGGTTGGCTTGGGATCTCCTTACAGCGAGGCATAAAATAAGCTCTAAGAAACAAAATGCCTATAAGCTTTAGAGGGTATAAACTGATTTATCTCATTGGTGTACAAGTGTATAATCAATACCTCAATATAATTTAGAGTGAGTATATACTCATTGTAATAAGATGCCTTGATTGATACAAGTATTATGTTTGTGAATGTATTAGTGTGATGATTCATGATATGGCATTTTAATATTAAAACAGGCAGTTGATTCTGCTGTCAGAATTTTGAAAGAGGGAGGAATGGATGCAATAAAATTGGAGGGAGCATCACCTTCTAGAATTACAGCAGCAAAAGCTATTGTTGAAGCCGGAATTGCAGTGATTGGGCATGTAGGATTGACACCGCAGGCCATTAGTGTTCTTGGAGGATTTAGGCCTCAGGGGAGAAACATTTCCAGTGCTGTTAAGGTATCTTCTGATAGATTCCTCAGTCCTCACCCCATGTGACCATACACTTGATATATGTTAGCGCTGAATGTGGTACTGTGAAGGTTGTAGAGACTGCACTTGCTTTGCAAGAAGCTGGGTGTTTTGCTGTTGTTTTGGAATGTGTTCCTGCACCAGTGGCTGCAGCAGCAACATCCATTTTAGGAATTCCTACTATCGGTATTGGAGCTGGACCATATTGCAGTGGGCAGGTTTGTTTTCTTATAATTGAAAGGTCAATGAGTTGACATTTTATCTTTATGCATTGTGTTTTAGTTTGAAGAAGTTTAGAGTTTATCATCTTGCTTTTTGCTTTGTATATTTTGAAAATACATGCATTTGTTACTCGACATCTTTTCACATGCCATTGCCTACTATTACCATAAAATGTACACTCTTGTGCTAATTACAAACCTGGTTTTAGCCGACCTATGGTTCTTTCCAGTTAGTTTGTCTTCCACACTGCACATAACTCTTTTCATCCCTCAACTCTCTTAATTCAACCGCAGTGTCCCTTCAATAAAGAATAGTAGTGTATTCCTTTTTTGTCGACTTTATGCTCCTTTCCTCCCCTTGAATTTAAATCAGACTCGTTTACTCACCAATTGTTTAAGAAGGCATGAGCCTGCACTGAGGGCCTTAGGCAATGGGTTTCCTGGTGACCTGGTGTGTATGCGTAAGGTGCACAAAGTATTAGGGTTCTTGAAGTGCTGGCATAAGACAAGCCTGTGCTCGAACCTAGGTGGAGTCAAGCACACATGTCACGATTAGAAAGGTGGTCATTCATGTAATAATTTAGAATCATTTTTTTATATTTTCTTGTGTAAGATTACTGTAAATTCCTTTTTCACACGAGACTGACCTAAATTATTGAAACAATGGAATTTTCAGCACAATTTCTACTGTTGTGATTTTAGGTTGCCGTTTTTTTTTAACACAATTGTAATTAGCTGATTTTCCCAGCATGCATCATTATTACCTTACTTATAAATTGAATGAGATATTCATGACATTCGTTTAACATATCAAAGCCTCTATAAATTACTTCAACTGAATTTGGCACCTAAAAGTAGGCCACTAGGCCTTGTGCGCTGCAAGTGCCTTGAGCGCGTTGCAATGCCTCAACTCCACTTCAGCAAAATCCTCATCATCCTGTGTTGCCTTCCATGCTCAGATCTTACCAAAGAACAGAAATGAAAAAAAATATAGTTGCCATGTCAATAAAATTCTGGAATTGTTCCTTGCTTAATTTGAACACTACCTGCTCTTTAATTGAATTCCTTGCTGCACTGCAGATGACTAGGCTCTTTTTATTTTTGTTTTATATAAACGTACCAGTTATTCAATGAAACTCTTATTCTGAGTGCTTTAAATTCCATTCTGACCTTTCTCACATGAAAGGCTACCCAAACTTTTCTCTTCAACTTGGAAGTAAAGATAAAGAAGTTGTGAGTTGAAAATTGTTTGAAAACTTGTACATCATCTTTTCAAGGAGAATTAATTTTAGAAATTGAGAGAGATAAAGATAGGAAAATGTTTTCTGTGATTTCATGCACCTCTTTTATTAGCTTAATAAATCGGCTCAGTTGCTTCACCTCTCTTACAGACTGCAAAAGTAAGTGGTTCCTCTTAAAGCACTGATGTGGACTTATGGATGCCCTTATGTTAATTATGGTCCCTCTGATTTGCATCACAATTTAGAAAACTATACAATCAATTCTTGGCTACTTGTAGGAAGCCTACCATTCTGTAATGCAGAATGCTGTTTTCCTTCTTCATTCTCCCCATGCTTCAAATAATTTCATCATAAAGATGCAGAATTCTGCAGCCAAGTTTGTTTAGTATGATGCACTCTTTCTGCGGTCCCATAAAATTTACCGCTGTTTCAGACTAATATCAGATAAACTTACTCAATTGCCTATGCTCTTATTTTTACACCAGGAATTTTTTTATGTCCAATTGATTCACTTGATATTATCCTAATATTGTCATGCTCAATCATTAAAAAGCCTAAATGATTCTGTAAGAAATTTATTACAATCTTGGACCTCATTTCTAAGATTCGACTAAAAAAAGGAACTGTGGCATTGACTCCTCTTCACCACCCCCGCCCTCCAAACTATTTGCCCTGTCTGTCATTCAAAGGGGGAGAAAAAAAGGTTAATTGAGATTTCATTATATTTATTGTAGAACCTAACTCCATGAGATATGCATCCAATCATATATGATCTCTTTTACCAAATGCTTCTTAAATTTCAGGTGTTAGTGTATCATGATCTTCTGGGAATGCTGCGACACCCTCACCATGCAAAGGTTAGACAGTGCTACTCGAACTTTCTGCCACCGCCACCCCCACCCCTAAAATGAAATAGAAGTAGAATAGATGGTTTATTGGTTTTTTTTTAATCAATAATTGCAGGTTACTCCTAAATTCTGCAAGCAATATGCACACGTCGGAGATGTGATCAACAAAGCCCTTGTGGAGTACAAGGATGAAGTGACAAGTGGTTCATTCCCTGGACCTGACCACAGCCCATATAAAATCAGTGCTTCAGAAGTTTGGTGGTTTCTTGGATGAGCTAAAACAGATGGGCTTGGATAAAGCTGCCTCTGCTGCAGCCGAAGCTGTTGAAAAGATGGAGAAAAACAAAATCACCTCATAGATTGCTATGACTAACAAAATGCATTCGACAATCCAAAAAAAAAAAAATTATAATGGCTCCTCATATTGACAAGAGTTTTCCCCTAATTTCTATTGACAGTAGAATTTGGATGTTATATAAGTTTGCTCTGGCTAGTAAAAGTGAGCATGTTTCAGCTATGACACTGAAGCGCCATGCCAGAAACAGAGGATAGTGTTTTCTTTAAGCTTGAAGTCTGTAACTTCTTGTTGGGTGCTGTAATTTTGCTAAGAGGCATAACAGAAACTGTATGTCGGCTGAAGAAACCTTATGAGAATAAGAGATTTGATCATGGAGATTCTTATATAGTATTCGACTTTTATTTCAGTCTTCTAAATAGGCTCATGCTCTTTATGAATATATTAGAAGCATCAAATTAGCCAATCAGGAGTTTCTTAAATTTTTTTATTTTTTTTCTACATGTAATATCCGCAGTTTCTCTCCGTAAGATGAGGTCTAAGCTCCGATACATTACGGAGTATCATTTAAAGGTAGGCTAAATCAATATTGATGATTGACATACAAGTTTATTTTACTATTTGAATGTTTATTTGAAAGTTTCCTGTAATCTCTAAAGAATCTGATGAAAATGACTTGTTAACAATAACAAAGGACAGTGCAATCATGGGCGACCTTGAAGCTATTTGGCACTTTGAGAAATTTCACTTCAATTTTAATCAAAATTTGAGATTCCTCCAGAAAAAGTGTCATGGACATGACTTTTGACCTTTGCTATGACAACATTTGACAAGGGTCGGGTGTGATTTTGACATTGGTACTGTTGGCACAATGACATTTATAGAGTCTTAGAATTGACAATTCTGATGTCCAATAATAATAATACGATTTTGTATGATGTATTTTTAATGAATTATTATGATGGCCAAAGTCAAAATGAATGTCTTAATGATTTTTTTTTTTTTATCTGCTTCTGTTAGGAACTTTTCTCTGATTTGTATCAAGAATTACTTCCAATCTCCAACAAAGTTCACACAAATATTAATTTAACACCTTTGTTAAGGTTTAAGCAATTATGGTTCAAATTGCTTGGTGTTACTCGTACAGTTGGCTATCTCAAGTTCTCAATCACTAGAAAGAACTTATCATTCTTTAAATCAATTTTAGTATGGTGTACCCGAGTTTATATTATTGTGCCGTTATATATGGGAAATAATTGGTATATTAATCTTTGACATGACAAATTTCAATATATATTTTTCTTTGTATTTCATAATAGTTACTAGTGAATTTTAACAAAAAAAAAATATAATGAGTGCAATCCAACTCAGCTACATTCATACATGAAAATTTAATTAGAGAATAACAATAAATCAATAGCATTCCTCAATACAGATTACAGAGTATGTAATTATGTATTGCCCTTAGCTATCAACCGTATGGTATACCCGACCATAACCGCGCCGCAACCTCTTAGCAACCATTGTGGGTGTAAGCAACCCGTTTTATGTACTGCCTTCAAATTTGACTCCCTTCCCCCCAAAATTGATTCCCTTCTTCCCCAGAGAAAAAACAGAGTAAGATGAGCATCGCATCAAGAGTACCAATCTGCTCAAAACTCCTTCGTTTACTCAAACATCAAAACCCTCAAAATCACGCCTATTTCCTTCACTCATCCATCGAAAACCCCTCAAATGCTGAATCGCCTAAAATAGACCTTTCATCATCATCTTCAATTGTAACCCAAATCGTCGAAATCCTCAAATCCAACGATAATGAAAGCTGGAAGACAAACCAAGAGCTTTCTAATCTTCTCTTCTCAGATTCTAATTCTCTCTCCTCCAATCACATCCTCCAAATCACTCGTCGTTTGGGCGATTCTTCAACAGCCCTCAATTTCGTCGAACACCTTCGCTCCAATTCTCCTTGCCCAGATGATAATCTGCTTTCTTCTGCATTTCAAGCTGTTTTTGAGCTTGCTTCTCGAAAACCCAGTTGGAAAGAGAAGCTCTTCGACCTCCTTAACACTTCCATAGAGATGGGTGTTCCTTTGAAGGTTAATTCTGTTATTCTTTTCATTCAATGTTTAGGGCGGGTTGGAATGACTGAGAAACTAATGATGATGTATAATGAATTAGAATCCCAGTTGAAGATTACCCATGTTCGGAATGCGTTGATTGATCAGCTTCTTAGAAATGGGTGTTTTGTTGATGCACTCCAGGTGCTCGACGATATGCTCCAACCAAATGTGGATTTCCCGCCAAATTCAAACACTGCTGCAATTGTTTTTTCGGTGATGTTGGAAGCTAGGAAGCACGGAAAGGGGTTATCTTGGGAGGAACTTGTGGAGCTAGCGTTGAAGTTTGGCAGACACCGCGTGTTTCCTGATACTGTTCTGTTGACGCAATGGATTACTGAACTCTGTAGGGCTAGAAAGATTGACATGGCTTGGAAGCTTTTGATAGCTTTCATGGAATTGGATGGACCTGTTGAAGTTGCACCATATAATGCCTTGCTGGCAGGTTTGGCAAAAGACCGCCAATTTAAAAGAATGGAAGAATTATTGGAAGAGATGCTGGCGAAAGGCATAAGTGCTAATGTTGTGACTCTTGGGATTAGTATCAATCACCTTTGCAAGTCTTTTAAGATTGATGAAGCGATCAATTTGTTTGAGAAAATGAGGAACGGTAAGATAAGTGCACACATTGAGCCGGATGTAATAATCTATAATACTCTCATCAACGGGCTATGTAAAGTTGGTCGTGCAGAAGAAGTTTTAGCTATGATGAGAAAGATGATATCAGAAGGTAAATGCTCCCCAATTAGTAGCACTTATAATTGTCTGATTGATGGATTTTGTAAAGTTGATGAGGTTGAGAGATCTCTTGAATTGTTTGATGAGATGGAGAAGCAAGGAGTTCAACCAAATGTTGTTACTATTAATACTTTAGTGGGTGGTATGTGCAGAGATGGTAAAGCTGGTAATGCGCTCAAGTTCTACCGTCAGATGGAAGGAAAGGGGCTAAAAGGAAACAAAGTAACTTATACTACGTTGATTAGTGGTTTCTGTGGTGTAAATAATATCAATAAAGCAATGGAGTTGTTCAAAGAAATAAGACAAACATGTGCATTAGATGCCATTGTGTACTATAGCCTGATCTCTGGCTTGTCCCAAGCAGAGCTTATGGCTGATGTTGAGTCAGTTTTATTCGAGATGAAAAGTGCTGGATTTCTCCCTGACATTCGGTGTTATAATGTGATGATCAACGGCTTTTGCAAGAAGAATAAGTTGGATAAAGCTCATCAGTTGTTGGAGGAAATGAAAGAGGTTGGACTTGAACCTGATAGTATTACCTACAATACTTTGATCTCATATTTCAGCAGAACCGGGGACCTGAAACCAGCTCGTAGACTGCTTATACAGATGGTTGAAAACAAGATTGCTCCTACAGTTGTCACATTTGGAGCACTAATTTATGCATGTTGCAGGGCGGGAGAGCTTGATGAAGCCATGAAAATTTTTAAGAAAATGAGTTCATCCAGCAGGACTCCTCCCAATACTGTAGTATACAATGTCTTAATAGATGCTCTTTGCCAGAAGAATGAGTTGGGGAAAGCACTCTCTCTTTTTGAAGACATGATAGCCAAGGGCGTGGGACCAGATTCGAGTACCTTCAATGCCTTATTCAAAGGCCTACGAGACGAGAATAAGCTTGATAAAGCTTTAGAGCTTATGGGGAAAATGACTGAATTGGATTGTCATCCTGACTATATAACCATGGAGATACTCACAGAGTGGCTTCCTGCAGTAGGCGAAGATGATAAACTTAAACAGTTTGTAGAAGTATACAGGTGACTCTGTATGAAGAGTGGCTTTCTGGCAATGAGAGGTTCTACTTCGCATCTTGTAGAGGAAGATGCTTTAATTTGTCGCTCTTTAAATAAGTGGAACTTCAAATTTTCTAATCACGTCTAACCAAAAGACCACTCCGGATTACAATTCAGTGTTAGTAAGCTGTATGAAGCCAAGGTACATGGTACGCAGAGAAAAGATGCTGCAACATCGCTATTAGCTGCCCGTTCAACCCACCACATTTAACTGAAAGTTGCGTTTTAGGCTCAGCTGATTTAGGGAGCTGAAAGCCAGAGCTCAAAGTCCCCTTTTTCTGAGAGGATAAAGTGATGTTGTACCAACATTTCCGTTGGGTTGATTTTCAGTCATTCAGCAAAGATGCAGACACAGTAAGGGAAACCCTTGTCTGCAATAAGCACGATGTAGATGTATCGGTTTTTATTTTCTATGAAAAGGACTATTTTTGTGCTGCAATCCAATAACCGTAGTCTTAATTCTTAATTACTTTCTTCAACATAATACTCGTATTAAGTTGGGAATTTTGTTCAGTTTTGTTACATGGTACTCTTTATGTATCTTTACTTTTAACTTCTTATTCATTTCCCTTACCTTTACATATAGCACATTCCATTCTGATCCTCCTCAAACGAATCTACATTCAAAAGCTATTAGACAAAAGATTATGGTAGTTTCAAAAGAGGAATGTGGAATGTTCACATCAAGTTGAAGGTAGGCAATTTCAGAAATTAAAACCCTATTGAAATGCAGAACTGGTATACTGTATTTGAAAAGTTACTGCTTGTTTATAGTTTCATTCACCAAAATTGGTACTGTTATGTCTGTAAATGGTCTCTGCTCTACTCTAAAAATAAGGCCTACTAAATTTAAACAATGTGCAGAGTTTTCAGTTAAAATTAGGCAGTAATTAGGGTTGTCCTACCAATTTATCCCCCAAAACTAAAGAGGAAAAAGATGGTGACTTTCATTGGAGATTGAGAACCGACAGCTGTGAACCATGTGTTTCCACAGATTCCATTCGATGGTCCCAAAACTAGCAATTTTTACATTAAACTATCACCATCCTTCTTAAAGCATTTGATAAATTAATAAATTTGTTTACAGTAGAATAGAAAATGCCCGTTTGACAATGTTCTCCAAAGATAAAAAGCAACTTATCTTTAATTCTCACTCCGTTCACAAATAATAATCCTCTATGATGTATCCCTTGACTCACAATCTTTTAATGTGTTTACATAACTCTAAAAGTCAATATTCTATAGCAAAAATCAAGTTATTAGCAAAATTTCTAACTAGTTGTATATAAGTCAAACACTAATCCAATATTAATAAGGGAAGAGGACAAAGCGTAAGAATATATTTGGTGAATGAACACAGGACGAAACAAATAATTATAGTCAATCTAAAATATAAACGCACCATAACAAGAAGTAAGACAATCATCATAAAATGAAAGAAGTATATATACCGAATAATTAACTTTATGAGTTTTATTGCTGAATACTACAACTATACTAATATTTTTTTCCTTTCCTTCCTTCACAAAAACAAAAGAATAACTATAAGCATATGCACCTCAACCCCATCCCTCTTTTTTCCTCTACAAGGTTCTTGCTAACTTTCAATGGACCATTCCCAATTTCCCATTACATTCACTTACAAATCAAAAAAAAAAAAAGTTCACTTTAGTTGAGAATAGAGATTCTACCAACTAAAAGTGTTTTCTAAAATTTCTCTCTCCTCCTTATCTCTCTAACTTTTGGTTTACTGTTAAATCTCCACTACCTTACAAATCCACAATGCCATTGTGACCTTACATAGATTCTGACAAATAGTGAGAGCATTTTTCCCACCTCCCCTCTCCTAAAAAGCACAAATAAAGTAAATATAATAAATTTAAAATAAAATAAAATTAAAGTTGACCAAATTAAAGTGGGAAGGCATCATGTCAATGAACCAAAAGTCAATCCCACCATCATCAACAACCACTAGAATTCCTCCCACCGGAAAATTAAAAAAAAGTCAACGTCTGCCGGAAAAAGTCAACTCCCTCCGGCAGCTGCTGCCGTACTACTACTATTACTTAACCAAGGAAACTCCGCCGACGACGGCGAAAAATGATCTGAAAAACAATCACTACCATCTGAGCCACCGTCGATTTGCTCAAACCCCACGTAGAAATCATCATTAAGCATTAAATCAGATAGAGCCATTTCGCTTGTATCATCTTCCTCTTTGATTAATTCATCTCCTTCAGTCTTTGACTCTGACTTCTCGGTCAAAGGAGAGAGACTTGCGGCGGAGGGTGACGAGCAAGTGGGCTGCTCCGGCGGTGTTCCGGTGGTGGTAAGTGGTTTTTGGCGAGTACTTCCGGCGAGAGAGTTTCTGTGAGTTGGCATAGGGTGATTGTGTTCGGAAGTGTAGGTGACTATGAACATTTTAGGGTCTGATCTGTTGCGCTCTACTTGTTTTCTGGCTAAACATCCCTTTGAGCTGCTACATCTGTAGTATCCCCTGTTGTATTTATTTTTGGAAATAAAATTCATTAGCGAAAAATAAGACAAGATTGTAGCAAAAAAAAAAATGAAAATCAGAAAAAAGATTTTAGGTTGGTAAATTTCTATTAATGGTTGGTATCATTGAACAAGGACTACTTTTCTGGTTTCGCCTTTAAAAGTAAAGTTTTTTGGAAATGAGCTGAGATTTGATGAGATTCTTGGTGTTGTGTGTTCAGGAATTTGCTTTGCTTTTAAAAGCAAATAAAGAGTTTGAACACAAATTCTTTTGCTTATCACAACATGTTATCATTATAGGTGCTTTAGCATATGCTTAACGGAACACTTTGTAAATTAATGGAATGAAAACGGAAAGTGTGTAAAACTCGAGCTACCCGAGGGGGGGAGTACTGACCTTTTTTTTTTTTTTTTTTTTTTGGGAAAAAATCAAGCAATATAGATAGAAAGAAACAAAAAGAAAAACCACCTTGGATATGGAGAGCCTTTGATGGGTTTCTGACCATATTTTCTCCAAGCCCACATATCAGAGGAAAGACCTTCTGCTGGAACATGACACACCTTCTTCATCAAATTCTTCCTGTATTACAAAAATCAAAACAAAACCCATTAAAATTGACACCAATCTACAAAATGGGTACTCCTCAAAATCATATTTTTCTCATGAAAAATTAATCCAAACAAAACCAACCTTTTCTTAGTTCTCTGAGTTTGAGAAGCATTATTTCCAGCATTAGAAGGAGAAGAGGTTCCAAAAATGACATGAGAAGGCTTAATTAATCCTCGAAGCTGCGTTTGTTGTTGATGTTGTTGTTGTTCAACAATTCCAAAAGATCTTCCAGTGATGACTGAAGAAGGCGAAGATACCGGAGACGCCAAAGAAGCCGAGGAGAGAGACTGAAAACTATTAGTGTTATGAATAGTGACGGAACTATTTGCAGTAGTTGCAGTGGAGCAAATCAACGGTTTACATATATCCTGCAACTCAAACGACGTCGTTGAGGTGCAAGGCTCAAAGGGGTTTGAAAATTGAAACAGAATACCACCACTTCCACCACCACCCCCACTCGTTGTTGAACAAGGCGATGTAGAAAAATACGGCTCTTGCTTAGGCGGTTGTTGTTGCTGCTGAGGTAGTTGAGGAAGAAGGGTAAATTGCGAAGACGACGACGACGGAGGTGGCGGCGGAATTGATGGAGAAGGTTCTAGATCCGCTGTGGTGGTGGTTGTAGTGGTGGTGGTGGTGGAGCAGCAGCTTCTGACAACGGCGAGTAGATCCCAATCTGGAGGGGTTTCCATGGATGTTACGAGGAGAGAGAAAAACAGGGGAGGAGAGAGAAAGTGAGAATAAAGAAGGAATGAGAGAATGGAGACAAGAGAAGGCGCTGACTTTTGGAAGGGGTGGGGGGATAAGAAATCAGAAAGATAATTAAAAAGAATGGAGGGTAGTGGGATGGGATTTATATATATAAATGAAATTTTTAGAAAAGGACATTTTCAGTTTGAGTACTCCATTTTTTATTTTATTTTTTTAGTTGCATATTTTGACGTTTTTGGGTTGAATTCTTTAATTAATTTATTTTTATATTATACTTGTATAAATTTTTTAGTGTATTTTATCAATTAATTTTGATTTATTTCAAATAACATAAGTTTATATAAGCTCAATTCAAAAACAAAAAACAAATTAAGTAAGAATGTTTCTATAAAAAAAAACAACAAATTAAGTAAGAAATTGTATTATTATATACTAGTACTAGGTTTTGTGTTTAAATAAAATTTGTAAATGAAAATTAATTTTTTTTTCCAAGAATATTGGCACTGGTATATAATAAATGAAAATTATTCTCCTTTAGACTACATTCATGTCCTAAAATGTACTTTGTACTCTGTATTAAAGATTATCATTATACACGTCTAGTAATATTGTATTTTTATTTTTGAAAGATAATATTGTATTATTGTATAGTATGGAGTATATACTAACTTGTAACAAGTAGACAAATTTTTTAAAAAAATATGAATAAAAAAAAACTTATTTTTTGTGCCCTTGATATGTTATTATTTGTATTGATATTCATACAAAAAGACAAAATAATAAATAGGGAGTATGTATTTTTATTTTCAATACTTTTGATGTATCGTCAATTTTATAAGAAGGAAAGAATACTTGTAATAAATACGGATTAATTAACATAAAATTGGAGGTATAAATATATAAATACAAATTAATATAAAAATAAAAAATAAAAGGAAAATTGAACAAGTGGTAATGTGGAGTGAAATTCTCTTTCATCTGAAAAACCAGGGTGGTAATGGGGGGTTGACTTAAGAAAATGTCAAAGGGGGGGCTGGATTTGCGGGTAGAAAAAGGAGAAACGCGGCTCAATGTTATGTTAAATTTTGGGGTTTTAAACATTTGGTGGGTCCTGCTGCTGCTCGTGACTAAGGGGCGTACCGACAAAAAGAAAGTGAGCTGGGTCCCGCTAGGGTGCTCTTGTGAGAGCTCTCTTTTTATGACCCGAGGGAGGAACAGGGCGCCCGTAACAAACAGATGGATGCCAATTTTTGAGACTCATAGTGATAGTGGGAGTGGGACACGCGCACTATTGTTTTTTTTGGGAGTTTTGGTCCCATTTTAATTCAATTCAATTCTTAACTAAACTTAATAGTGTACTCGTACAAACCAAACCACCAATTGTTTCACCACATGGCCCAACAGTCCAACACACACAAATACACAATGTTGTTCATTTCAATAATGAAGATGACAAGTATTTCTATGTCTAAAATATGTGTATTCAATGGTCGATCTTGACCTTAAAAACCCTTTGTATATGGATTCGAGATATGTTTGACACAAATAATTTAAACAAATTTACACGTATTTTATAAATGATTATGAAAACTTCGTATTCGAAAAGTACTCATTCATTTAAAACTAATGATATCTCATTCGTTACTTTTTTTAGTACATTTTATGAATTTGGAATAATCTGGATACAACTCATACAAGTAA